CATGGCTGTTAGCAACAGCAATTGTATTGGAGGTATAATTTGTCTTTGTCCTTCCCTAATTACGAATTGTTTTTCCACCCTGTGGGTATACAATCCTTAATTAAATGAGTCTGTTTTATTGATTTAGTTTCCTATTTTCTAAATACCAAAAATGGAATGTGAAAGAAAACTTTGTATATTTTGGTTGTGGATTAGCAGCCATTGATTTACCTTGTAAACACATCCAGATTTGGTAATCATGAAAGGCTCGTTACTGTAAGCTCACGGCAGTCTTGCTAATTTCTAAGTAGAATCAATGAATTTCCAGGTAAGAAAAAGTTCAAACAATTGATTTTGCTATGAATATGAGAGAAGAAGAATCGATGCCTTTGAACTGTGGTGTTGGAGAAGAGTTTTGAACATTCCATAGACTGTAAAAAATATAGATAGGACTGTCTTGGAGAGGGTGAAAGCAAGTTTCTCCTTGGTGGCTAGGATTTTGAAGCTCCATCTCACATACTTTGGACACATGGCTTGGGAAGGACGTCATGCCCAGAAGGGTAAAGGGACAGCGTAGGACAGGAAAACTCTGGGATGAGATGGATTGATACAGAAACTGGGAAAATGGAAGTAAGTGTGTTGGAATCAGCGAGACGGGCTCAGGACAGTACAAGCTTCAGAGACACTGTACATAGGGTCGCTATGAGTCACAGGTGACTCGACGGCACGTAACAACAATGAACATGCAATCTTTATTTGAATGATTGTAAATGCACTATATAAGGTTGACATTTTGAGAAGCATTTGAAAAGCATTGTTACCCGGAGAAATGTTACTGTACCAAATACCATAGGGCAAATAAAGGGGTGGTGTGAGTATTAAGAGATAGTTTTAACAAAGAGTCTTGAATGTATCATGGGCTGTCCAAAGAACAAACAAATCTGCTTTGGAGGAAATGCAACCATGGTCTTCCTTAAAAGTATGCATGGTGAAACAATATCACATATTTTGGGCATGTTGTCTGTCAGGAGGGGCCTGGCTATAAATTCTTAGAAAACTATATCATGATTTGAAAAGTAGAGGTTCAGTGAAAGGGAAGAGTACCCTTAATGAGATAGATTGGCGCAGTGGGTGCAAGAATGTGCTTGAGTGTGTTGGAGAGCACTATAATGGCGCAGGATAGGGCCAGATTTCAGTCTTTTGTTCACAGGGTCACTTTGAGTGGTAATTGATGTGATGGTATGTAACAGCAACTACATGAGAATTCCCTGAATTGCATTAGTAAGTGGTGCTAAAGCAAGAGATTCTAGAATATCGTCATTGTACCAAATTAAATGGCTCTAAGTTGTAAGCAGTTATAATAAGACTTGAAGCTTTTTTTTGTTTTTTTACAGAAGATAAAAAAATACAGTTTGTTGTGTTATTTTAAAAACGAAAATGGAACTAATCTTTATTTATATCCAGTTTGGAGTTTACTGGTTTAACCAGTTTTCAGTTCTGATACTTTTTTTAAAAATTTTTTTAATTTTATTTTATTTTTTTAATAATTTTAATGAACATTTATAGAAAATTTGGATTTCCATTCATTCATTGCTGCACTTCTCTACCCGCCCAGCCCTCCCCCCCTGCCCCCCAGTTGATACATTTTAATACCTCAAATTCAATTTTAGATTTTCTGTGTTGTTGTTGTTGTTGTTGTGTGCCATCGAGTCGTTTCCGACTCATAGCGACCCTATGCACAACAGCTCTTAACCCTGCTCTATCCTGCGCCAACCGCAGCACCGCCTCTGACACACCCATCCCGATTACCCCAGTCACTGAATCAATCCATCTCATAGAGGGTCTTCCCCTCCTGTGCTGTCCCTCCACCCTCCCAAGCATGATGTCCCCCTCCAAGGACCCGTCCCTCCTGGCAACATGTCCAAAGTATGTCAGACGAAGCCCCAGAATCCTTGCCTCCAAGGAGTAGCTTGGTTTAATCCTCTCCAAGATAAATCTGTTTGTTTTCCTGGCAGTCCAGTGTACATTCAGTACCCTTCTCCAGCACCACAGCTCAAAAGCATCCACTCTCCTTCTGTCCTCCCTAGTCATTGTCCAACTCTCTGATGCATAACAAGCGATTGCAAATACCATGGCCTGTATCAGGCACACCTTAGTCTCCAGAGAGACACTGTTGCTCCTGAGTACCTTTGAGAGGTCCCTAACAGCAGACTTTCCCATCGTGATACGCTTTTTTATTTCCTGACTGCTGGTACCAAGAGTGTTGACTGTGGAGCCGAGCAAAGTGAAGCTGTGAACACTCTCAATCTCTTTGTCATCCATCCTGACGCTGCCAATTGGTCCAGTGGCGAGAATCTTTGTCTTCTTGACGTTGAGCCTTAGTCCAGACTGAAGGCTGCAGTCCTTGACCCTTCGCAGCAAGTGCATGAGGTCCTCCTCAGTTTCAGCAAGCAAGGTTGTGTCATCTGCATAACGGAGATTGTTAATAGATCTTCCACCAATCCTGATGCCACAATTCTCCTCATAGAGCCCAGCCTCTCGGATAATCTGCTCTGCATCCATGTTGAAAAGGTATGGAGACAGGATGCATCCCTGGCGTACACCCTTCCCTATTTTGAACCATGCAGTGTTACCCTGCTCTGTTGTGACGACTGCCTCTTGGCCCAAGTATAGGTTTCACATTAGCACAATTAAATGTTCTGGGATTCCCATTCTTCTCAGAGTCAGCCATAGTTTGTTATGATCCACACAGTCAAATGCCTTTGCATAATCAGTGAAACACAGATAGACATTCTTCTGGTATTCTCTGCTTTCAGCCAAGATCCATCTAACATCAGCAACGATATCCCTAGTACCACGACCCCTTCTAAACCCAGCCTGGACTTCCGGCAGTTCTCTGTTGATGAGCTGTTCTAATCGTTTTTGGATGATCTTCAGTAGAATCTTGCTTGCATGTGAAATCAATGACACTGTTCTGTAGTTTCCATACTCAGTTGGGTCACCTTTCTTTGGAATGGGAACAAATAGTCTCTTTTTATTACCATCACAAGAATATGAAAATAGCCCAGATGTCCAACCACAAACGAATGATTGAGAAGTTGTGGTACAGTCATACAATGGAATACTACCTGGCACACAGGAGCAATGGTTTTGTAAATTACTACCTAACTTGTGAGGTACTGGAAAGCATTATGCTGAGTGAATTAACTCAGTCCCATAAGGACAAATATTGTATAAAACCATTATTGTAGAATGAATATGAAGACCCAAGGTGAGGGGAGGGTGGAAATATAGAGGTGAGGATGGGGGGGCTAGAGTGTTAGTCATAGAGTTAAGCAATTTGCTTGGTGGGTAGGATGAAGTAAATGGGAAGGATCTCTATTCAAGCTTTATAACTAAATCAGAGTAATAAAAAATTATTAAAAAGAATACAGTTTTTAATATAGATTGAGTCTCAACCTCAGGAAAACAAAAATTTTTACCAGTGGGCTGCTAAGCAATTCCATGATAGATGTAGAAAAGATTAAAACTGTCAACAACTTCATCTTACTTGGATCCACAGTCAACACTCTTGGCACCAGTAGTCAGGCAATAAGGCGACACATTGTACTGGGAAAATTTGCAGTTAGGGAACTCTCCAAATTGAGGAGTAATAATGTCAGTTTGAGTACTAAGGTTTCTCTGATTCAGACAATGGTCTTTCCAATCACTTGCTATGCATCTGAAAGCTGGACAATGAAAAGGAATGACAGAAGAAGAACTGATGCCTTTCAGCTGTGGTATTGGAGAAGAGCCCTGAACATCCCATGGACGGCCAAAAGAACAAACAACTTTGTCTTGGAGAGGGTGGAGCTGAAGTAATCTTTGGAGGAAAGGGTGATTAGGCTTCATCTTACATTCTTTGGGCATATTGCTAGGAGGGATTATACCTTGGAAAGGGACATCATACTTGGAAAGATAGTGTTGGCAAAGGAGAGAAAAACCCTCAAGTGGGTAGAGTGACACAGTGACTAGGGCTTCTTAGGGTGGACACTGCTGGGGCATTTTGTAGAAATTGGCAGTGACAAACTTACCTTCCTCCTAAAAACGATGTCAAAGTTCCTGAGAGGTCCATCCCAAACTGTGGTAACTCGTGGTGTGAGGGAGAAGAACTGTGTTCCAGAGAGTTTTCAGTGGCTGATGTTTTTCAGAAAAAGATCACCAGGCCATTCTTTCATGCTGCCACTGAATGACCTTCAACCCCTGGCTTAGCAGCTAACTTTTGGTATCTGTTTGCACCGCCCTGAGACAGCTTCCTGTTAGCTAAGTGCACTCTTCATACATGTAACATTCCAGAGGGATAAGAGTGTATGCATAACAAAGCCTTATCAAGTATATGTCTCTAACATATGAAAGTCACTAAAATAGTACCAAAGAGCGTATGAAATAATTGCAAACTTTTCCCAGTTTAACACAGGGAGCACAACAAAGCTAATACCCCTTTCCAGTTGTCCATGTCCATTTGTTTATCAATATGATCTTTTCATTGTAAATAACACTTTGTTTCTCCACAAGAGGAATTAAGGTGTAAGTATCCTGCTTTGGAAAAGTGCTGCCGTAGGCATTCTGAGCTAATATTCTCACAGGGAAAAGCAAGACTATGCTCTTCAGGCTTCCGTCAGGCTATTTATTATGTGATATGTCCCAGGGTCTGTAGATTCCAAATAGCCTTTAGAGAGGGGATAATCTTTTTTCCTCAGCCACCTCTTGCTCTCTCTGTGATCCGACCAGACAATGACACTTTTATTAGCTGCATTCATGGTGCTGAGCTTTTCCCAGCAGACAGAGGAGAGTGTCTCATAAAAAAGATCCGAGATGCCTGGTGAAGCTGCTTCCTGATTGTTTCAGATGAACTACGCATAAAGGCAGCCAGGGAAAGGCTCTGAGAAATTACACACTTGGGCTTTTCTAACTGACACTTTACTGCCATTGTGGAAAAAGTTATAAAATGCCTTTTCTTTTTCTTTTTTTTTTTTACTCAGATGAGTATAGGATCAAACCAGTGGAAGAGGTCAAATACATGAAAAACGGGGCAGAAGATGAGCAGAAAGTAGCAGCCAGGAACCAAGAAAACTTGGTAAGAATCAAATCTCTCCTGTAACAGTGAATTTTGGTGACCGTGATGTAATAAAACCTGCCCTGCATGTTGAAAACTGCACCTTCCTTACACTGAAAGGTGCTTTCTTGAAAATGCTGTAGCTGTTTATACCTTGCCTGGAAGCTGCACCATTGCTCCTGTATCAAGTTTATCTCTGAGAAAGCCCTTCTTTAATCTCCATGGAGAAGGCTACAGGGGAAATGCTGCAGCATTATTGATGTTTTAAATTAGTTAAATCCAAAGGAAAAACATGGAGTGGGATTGAGATTTATGGGTGGAGATTTTCCCTCCCTTTTCTCCAAATCCTTTAATGCCTCATCCAAGTCAAATTGAATGATTGTTTTATTATTCTGATCATGCAGTGCAGTTAAGGAAGTTGTTTTTTAAAGAAAAATAATGCACTTTCAAGATACATTTCTATCCACACTCAGCGTTAAAGCATTGTGGGGTTTGAGTTAACACTAGAATGGTAATGATCTTAAACAGGAAGTTTGAAGGCTCCTTGTAAAATACAGATCAATACATACCTTCCATCTTAATACTCTTTCGCTATAGTTAAATAATTTTTGTATAAGCATATTTCTTAAAGAGGATTACAAATTGTGAAGCATGAAGCATATGCGTTTCTTCAGTTGGATTGGAGCAAAACTGTTTTTGTTTTCCTTTTTGGATTAGTTGGGTATTTGTTGGTTTTTTCCTGTCTGAATGAATGGATTTCATAGAAACTTGCCATGTCATAAAACGTTTTCATTGGATTTAGACTCTTTTTTCCATTTTGTTGCCTTGTTTTTGTTTTCTTGGTGTCTGCTCTAGCAAAAGCAGTTGGCATATTATTAACCAGTGCTCTTGGGTGTTTAGGGCTGTCATTTTCCATTATACAGTAATGAACATAACAGGCTAATTCTTTGCTTCTCTCCTGTTCTGAACATATGAGCTGCCACTTGAAAGACTAAAGTATCAACAACTGAGTAACTTAGATTTTTTCTTTTTAAATGAAGGAGTGAAAATACATAATAAAATGTCATTGCTTAAATGCCTTTTGAATTTAAAAGATCACACACATTCAGTGGTTTTTAAAACATTGGCACCTAAATTCTGAAAAAGTAAAAATTATTATAATCTGTTTTGCATGAATTTTTATTTTTTGTTGGAATGGATAAATAGAACAAAGACCTAAGCAATGGAACTATCCATAGTCCTTTTTCTGTTGTTGTTGTTGTTGTGTACGTGTACCATTGCATCACAACTGACCCGTAGCTGACCTTCCAGCGAGTTTCCAGAGGCTGAAATTGCATGGAAGGAGATGGCCTGTCCTTGTCTGGCAAAGCACCTGGCGGATTTGAACCATGTGTCTTCGCTATTACAGCACAGCTTCTTGCTGCTAGGCCACCAGACCTACCTAGTCTTTTTTTCTAATTTATTTTATTGAGAAGCAAAATTTGTTCTTGTTTTTGTTTCGCTTGAACTCAGCTTTGACCTGAGTTCTAAGCCTCACCTTCCATCAAATTCCATCAGAAGCTACAAAGATCAGTGGCCAACAAGTGACTGCTCCTAACTGAGTCTCCATTTCACATGTGTAGATCTCTGGAATCTTAAGCAGCAGTGATTTTATAGCCCATGATTTTTTTTTTTAAATCATTTTGCTTTCCTCATATTTAGGGCCAATACAACTGTTTTCTTTCTCAGTTTTGAAATCTGTCGACTACTTGGCACTAGTACATTCTTTTTCCAATTCTGTGGTCAGAATTAGCAGATGGAATGAAGATTCAAATGAGAGAAATGATTGGTCATTCTTAATTATTTGTGGATTATCTGTGACAATCTCATATGTCTATTCTGGCTCCCAGTCAGGGTCCAGGCTACCACCAGAAATTTGAAAATTTGAAACAGTTTATATAGAGAATGGAGAGTCAATGGTTTTCCTTGATTGTGAAGTTTCTACACTACTTTTCCAGAGGCCTTATGGTGAAGGAGATTAAGCATTGAATAACTAATAGAAAGATCAGATCGGTGGTTCAAACCTACCCTAGTAAGAAAGGTTAAGCATTCTCCTCCCATGAAGGAAATGCAGTGGACAGTTTCTGCTCCATCCTGTAGAGATGGTATTAGTTGGATTCAACTCAACAGCAGTAGGCTAAGCTTTTTTTAGTTCAAATGGTTTTCCAAAAATTCACTAAAACTCAGTTAATCTTGTAGCTATATTTGTACACTGCCTATCCTTTGGGGGGGTTACATTATCAAATATTGGCTGTGCATATTGTTTAAGAAGATGAATAGACTCAAACCTCTAAAGTTTACACTGGGAGATAGATAACATTGATCCACCAGTTATTTTTCACATTGTATGAAATAACCTAAGAGCCAAAAAGATTTTGTGCTACAAAGAACACTTTTAAAATATAAGTCAGAGTATTTTTTAAAAGTGCTCACGCTGTTGAAACTCAGGTGCTCCACAAACATAAGCAAGACAGCACAGTGTGGTGGCTAAGACTGTAAATTCTGGAGGGGAAGAAAAACACCCCACACCTGCCGGGGCTCAAATCTCAGCTCTGCCAATTGCCAATTTGCAATTAACCAGCCAAATGAGGGAAAGGATGGTTGCTCATAAATGTTGTGAGGTTTATGTGACATGATCATTGGTCATTTAATATGATAGCTAGAACATGATGTTATCTCATAGAAGTTGGAAATTGTTGTTTGTTGTTGTATGCCATCGAGTCGCTTGCGACTCATAGTGACCCTATGCACAACAGCTCTAAACCCTGCTCTGTCCTGTGCCAATCGCACTGCCTCTGACACACCCATCCCAATT